TGCAGATCATCGGCGTACAGATGATACGAGCAATCAAGATTATGAGTGATCAAGTTTATAAAAACTGAGAAAATGATAGGAGAGCGTATACCGCCTAGCGGTACGCCACATTCAACTTCAGCCCAAGCTGATTTCATATGATAGGTCATATGAAATCAGCTTGGGCAGCAGTCAGTTCACGTAGGCGTGAACTGACTGCTGACGCCCGCGAAGATATGATGCAAACCAATCTAAGACAGTGGGCTGGGATAGGATGGAAAGAAGGATATCATGATCAACTGTCTTAAAAGCATTAGAAAAGTCTACTAGAACTAGCACTGCTATCTTTTTTTCGTCCATACCTTTTCTAATGTCTTTAGTGACTTTTATTAAAGCAGTGGTAGTGCTGTGACCTGAACGAAACCCGGACTGAAATGGACTCAGTAGGTTATGTTTCAAGATGAACGTAGTAATTTGCTTATGAACACAGGCTTCTACAAAAATTGTAGGAAATTTTTCAATAAGAATATCCAACTCTTCATCCAAGGAGATCTTCGCCCTTTCATTACTGTGCAGTTTGACATAAATTATCCCATCAAGTGTCTACACGTTCTTTATACCAAAGCTTACGGGCTTTCTTTTGTATGGATTGCCTTGTTCTTGTAAGAAATTCAGAAACTGCAACAGGATACCCTTTTAATTTTGTCTTGGCATTCCAAACCTCTTGCTTTGTGTGATAGTCTTTGAATTGGATGATAATTGGCCTTGTGTGACCATCTCTTTTAACTCCGATTCGATGGCACCGATTGATACAAGCATTTGTCACATGTGGAATATCTAGTTTGTTGTGTAAAAGACATAGGACCTCTTTCTCTGCATCAGCCTCTGCTGTGTCCGGAATACCACTGAATAGCAGAATATTTCGTCTATGTCTCATATCAATTGCATCAATAGACTGTAAACAAGCACGTACCTGCTGTCGGAGAAGATTAAACATTGAGCCCACCAACTCCTTGAAAGCGTTAAACTCATCACGTAATTGAATAAGGGTGGAACTAGTTGGTGTAGACGCAGCATTTAATCTGCCTTCAAATTCAATCATTTTACGGGTCCAGCATAATTCAAGCTCCTTCTGCATGTTCTCCACTTCAGTAACATTTGCCATTATGTTTACAGTTAAACAGTTATAACAAAGTGAGATGAAAACTTAGGAAGTTGATAGCAATAAAGTATCACTAATGGGAGGTGCAAGTGAGACTAAACTTCTCCAAATGTTCATATTTTTACACTTAATCCATAGAAAAACTAATCATTGATTGTTTAGTAGTTTTATATAGAACAAAACTTGTTTATGGATATTTTAAAATAAAATAAAATATAAGAGCTAGTTAAACAGCTGTTAGTTATTGTACACCTACCCTCCGAAAATAATAATAGTGCGCTTTTCACTAATGTTTTGATAATTCCTTGAGCATGTTTTAGAATAATAATTTAATACTATTAATAATGATTGAAATAGCGGCGTTTCCTAAACTAGTCGAAACAAGCCTTGCGGCTGCCTAAATAAGAGTTAGGTACGTCCCATTATTTTTCTACGAAAATATGGACGTGAAAATTATCTATCTCCTAGTAACAGCTTATGTTTATGTTTCACGGTTGAGGACGTAGTTACATTTTGTACATCTTCGAATTTAGGTATATCGAGTCGTAAGCCGACTTACGCATGCAATCATTAAAACAGTTTTCCGCTATATTTTATATATTACACCTAACTAAATTTGATACTTGCTCAGACCAACAAAGGAATAAAGACGGAGCGTTGCGTAGATTTTAAGTGAAGCCGTAACCATGTTCAACTTCTTAACACGCACTCTCGCCTACATCTTTCTTCTTTCTCTATCAGCCCATAAAAGTTTACTGATGCACACATACACCTAAAATCATGTTAATGGTTGCAAATTACTTTAAATGCATACATGTACGTGAGGGCATGTTCTTGCAATAGGGTGAGCATGGTTTTGGCTTGGCTGTTGCATGCCTTGAAATGTAGGCCGCGCTCCGTTATTTCTTTGCAGGTCTGAGGATACTTAAAATATTATTAATTTTAATAGAGAAGATGGATGGGTGTTGCCATCTGCTTGGGATCCCATAATTAATAAAATCAAATCCAAACCCAAGTATACCACTGCTAGACTTCAAGATACTGTAAGCTCATTCTGCGTAAATCGGACCAAAAAAATTAATATTAAAAAACTGAAGGTAGCCGGGCTAACTATAACAGCAGGACGTCAAACACCTCAGTCCCCCGTGACCAGACTACCGTCGGGAATATAAAAATAGATTAATATACGCGATAAAATCCGTAAAATTAGTTTTATTTAAAAATGAATAGTTAATAAATTATAATCTTTATATATTAAAATTACGTGTCACCTAATTTTTCCGCGATGAACTCTTAATCTACTGAACTGATTACAATGAAATTTTTCACACTGTGTGCAGTTTGGTCCAACTTGAGAGATATGATATATCTTATCCCGTTAAGTAACTCTCAATATTTTTTATTGGTAGTTTAACGATTTTTATGGGACTAAGTTGGAGAGGGCAGTACGACGTCTGCCTGGCCAGCTAGTCTTTATAATATAAAAATTACGTGTCACATTGTTTGTCTGCGATGAACTCCCAAACTACTGAAATGAAATTTAGCACACTGTGTACAGTTTGGTCTAACTTGAGAGATAGGACAGTTTTTATCCCGATAAGTGACCCTTAGCATTTTTTATTAGGAATTTAAGGATTTTTAATTGGAGAAAGGGTCATCTCAGGAAAGGGCAGAATAACGTCTGCCTGGTCAGCTAGTAGAACATAATAAAAAAGTCAGGTCACTAATTAAACTAATTTACTGTGCAAAGTTTGATAACAAAACAAAAATAAAATAGGTAAATGCTATATGCTTTAGAAAGACAAACAGAAACTTTTCTTTCCAGAATAGATTTTTTTATAGGAGAGTGGGTAAACAGGCATGCGGATCACCTGGTGGTAAATGACTACCGCCGCCAATAAACAACTGCAACACCAGGGGAATCGAAGATGCGTTGCCGGCCTTAAATATAATGCAGAGTGAATTTCACTCTTTTGTTTATTTTACCACTGGTTTGGAAAAAACCTCTATCCTGGGAAGGGCCAGCAAGAAATTCAGTGGAACCTTTTTTTTTTAATAACAGCTTTCAATCATATACCTTATACGATTAACAACACAAAACAAATTAGAAATACCTTGGTAGCAATCACCTCATTTCCAAGGGTAATTATCATCCATAAATTCCTTAACATTATAATAACCCATTTTGTACAAACTTTGTTTAATAAAAGTTTTTTTTTATCTTTGAGAAGATCAAATGTTGTATATTTTCTTAAATTATTGTTATAAAAGCTCAACAAAATCCCAGAAAATATACATCGCCCCAAGAATGAATCGCTGACTCGGTGGAGTCGAGTAACTGGTACTACTAGCTTGTGTCTGTTCCTAGTATTTACTGAATGAATATCACTTATTTTTGTAAAACTACTTTTATATTTTGTTAGTACATACATTAGTAGTAACTATTTGCTTTTTGTATTGACTGTGAAAACGTTAGAATAATACTAACAAAAGTCAACTTTTTTGAGTTTCCATATTATAATGGGATTATGAGCATTTCACTTCTACTGAACTAATTTCATATTCGTTTATGTAAATAACCTAAATCAAAGAAATCTTTTTAACTAACTATTTTCCTTGAGGTCTTTAATATTTATTGTTAATTTGTTTTATTTTTTCGTTAGTTTGTTAGTTATTTCAGATATTTTAAGATTTGAAATTGACGCTAAAAGGGAAATAAGGGAAATCCTTAGTTTATTTATTAGGATCCACAAATACAAGTCAAGTATGTATCAAATTTGGTTTTTGGAATATATTGTATTTCTACGGCGATCTTTTTCGCTGCAAACAAACGATACAATATCCACTCACAACGGCGGCTGAGGCCGGAATGACGAATGACGGAGTGAAACAGTGTATTTAGTAAAATAAATTAATACAGGGCTTAAACCACCGAAAATTACGCAATTTCTTAGCCGAAAAAAGTAAATTAAACTAGAAAATAACTAGACAAAACAAAATTAAACTGCCATTTACATTCCATGGTTTCCCTCATGATAGATGAAGAGGTTTAAAAATAGAGTGAGTTGAACAATTGATATTTTCAAAAGTTATCGTGAAGTCCGCGTGGCTTACGAAGCCTTGACTTGACTTGATAAGTCCACACCATAAGCCACTAAAACCCTTTTTTTATGTAAAAAAGGCAATTAATCGAATTAAAGAAAATATTACTTAATTCAACAATCATTTATCTTTCTGACAATGTGCTTTTTATATCATTTATATGTATAATATGATTGCTAGATACGATTTCATGCAACAAAACGTTGGAATCTTAATTTTTAAGCCCTAGCAGAACATACCTGCGCGCTTTGCGCTTACGGCATGCAAACGGACAGAATGTTTGAGTTTTTTTTTATTTATATTTTACCATTCGATTATAGTACTTATTCTGAACCTTCTCTGTGAATATGGCCATACATGGCAAAATATACTGTATAGTGCTGTGGATTTACATATATACTACTTTATATTTAATTTCGGTAACAGATAATATTTAACGTGTTAATTTCATTATCACTAAATTTAACTGAATGATATTTTATTGTTTCAGAAAAATGAAGCATTATTTAATAAATTTTTGATAAATTTCTGATTGAAACAAATGTTTTACTATGCTCCAATATCTCATTCATGGTAGCATTTTTAAAGTTATCATTTTTTTAACATCAGAAATATCGATAGCATTAAAAAGCAAAACTGGAACAATAATTTCTTCGCTATTACAAGTAGAATGGACGTAAATGATCAATGAAATTAACGCGGAAGACGCGTTCTTCAACTTTCAAAATGGGGAAGTAAAGTTTGCTCAAAGATAATTATGGATTACGTGTTTAATATAACTTTCGAAAGAGAAAAGTTCTATGCAAGTCAGAATTTTATGAATCGAGACGAGATGCAAGACGCTGAGGTAAAGTATGAATACAGTATAAGTTTTAACAGAATTTTTTTTATAACTATTTGTTGGATATGGATAATTTTGAAAGGAATTTACTTTATCACCTACAACTAAAACACTACTTTGGCTACATACCTAATTTGTTGGGATAATAGCTGGCTTATAGTAGAAAAACCTGTTTCTTGCAATAATGTAACGAAACTTATACGTAGTCTTATAATCCTGTTTTATTTAGTTTTTGTACTTATTTTAGTTTTTATTATACGGAAATTATAAAATTATTTCACCTTTAATTTCTCGTATACCTGTTATGAAATGAGTACATCTTGTTTTAAATATTTATTATTCCCAAAATTAACACTTATATAAAACGAAAAATATTCACTTTTTAAAAGAGCTTTAACTTTTCAGATTGTCTATACGTGGGAGATGGATTTCAATCAAAGTAAACTTTGGGCCTCAACTTTGCTTGTGCCCAAGATGCCCACACCCACTCCACCGTCCACAACCGCCATGCCTTTGTGGGCTTATAATTCTTGGGTGTGCCTCTTCTCAGCTATGCTAGCTGTAGCTATTGGAGGGAATGCAATAGTTATTTGGATAGTTACAGGTAAAGCTTGAATGCCTTTGTAATATAAAACTTACAGTCTATTTTAGTACCTCGTTTTCTTTCACCCCTGATCACTAAGAGCAATTTGAACTTCACCCCATGTACTATATTTTTTTTTATTTACATATATAGCCCACCGTCGAATGAGAACAGTTACCAACTATTTTCTGGTGAATTTGTCATTTGCTGACCTAATGATGGCATCACTTAACTGTCTTTTCAACTTCATCTACATGTTACATAGGTAAGTAAAATAATATTACATATGTTAGGTATGTATTAAAATCTTTCGCTATAATTAGTTCATCATCATTTATCATCATAAAAATACATCACAACTCCACTGCTGAATATAGGTCTAATAAGCTAAGAAGCCTCAAAACACGGTCCTAATCCATATGTATCCATCGAATTCTTGCTTCTCTTAATAGATAGTCATTCCGTTTAGAAGTGGACTTCGTACTTATTTAGTGGCTTCCGTGGATGCACCTCTGAATCTGAAACTCTCTTTCTCCATCAGTTGTCGGTTCTTCGAGCTATAGGACCGGCCCATTGCCACTAAACTCCAAGCATAGCATTCTTCATAGCTCGCTGAGTGATCATGAGTTTCTTCATGCCGCAGTAGCAGTGGAAGATCTTCTCAGATCCATATGTCATCTTATTTTCAAGTTTTAAAGTATGCGTGTCCTAATCTCTCAAATACTACGCGGATTCCAGATATGGAGGATCATACACCTTCCCTGTTCGACCTTCTGCTGAACTCTCATCCGGACGGATATCAGGTATCCGTCGATGCCCCTCTCGGCTCTTCGGACCATTGTCTGATCCGGAGTGTGGTGCCACTCACGCTCCCTTCGCGGTTGCGTTCTGCAGGTTGCCGCCGTGTTTGGCATTACAGGTCGGCGGATTGGGACGGAATGCGGTCTTTCTTTGCATCCTACCCATGGGAGCGGGTTTGCTTCTCGCCAGATGATCCCAGCGCTGTTGCTGACTCTGTCACTGATGTGGTGCTACAAGGAATGGAAATATTTATTCCATCATCTATGGTACCCATCGGAGGCAGATCTCAGCCTTGGTTTGGACGCTCCTGTAAGACTGCATTACGCAGTAAGCAGGAGTGTTATCAAGCCTGAGCTGCAGCTTCGGCGACTCGGAATGTAAACACCAGCACAATTAAAAAGAAGTATAACTTTGCCTCCAGGTCCTTCAAAAGGGTTATTGCCAAGGCAAAGTCAGAGCATATAGGCAGAATTGGCGAGAAACTAGTTCGCCTTCCTTCGGGAACCCGTGCATTCTGGTCTCTCGCCAAGGCTATCCAAGGGAATTTCTGTAAGCCATCACTACCATCTCTGCACAGGGAGGACGACTCATTGGCCCAAGACGCAAAAGACAAAGCTGACCTTTTAGGCTCCCTTTTTGCGACTCGACTCTTGATGACGTGGGGAAAACACCGCCGATCATCCCACGGTGTGAGTGCTCCATGCTGGATGTGCTGTTCTCACAGCGCTCGGTTCGCAAAGCACTTCTCTCCCTGGATATCCAGAAGTCGAGTGGGCCTGACGGTATCCCCCCAATTGTGCTGAGGACGTGTGCTCCGGAGTTGGCACCGGTCCTAGCGCGTCTTTTCCGATACTCCTACTCCCAAGGCGTAGTCCCGAATTCATGGAAGACAGCTTTTGTCCACCCGATCCCTAAAAAAGGCGACCGCTCAGACCCGTCCAACTATAGGCCTATCGCGATCACCTCCTTGTTCTCCAAAATAATGGAATCCATTATTAACTGCCAGCTCATCCGGTACCTTGAGGATCACCAGCTGATTAGTGACCGCCAATACGGTTTTCGTCGGGGTCGATCAGCTGGTGATCTTCTGGTCTACCTGGCCCATAGATGGGCGGAGGCAGTAGAGTCCAAGGGGGAGGCGTTGGCCGTTAGTCTGAACATTGCAAAGGCCTTCGATCGGGTTTGGCACAAAGCGCTTCTTTCGAAGCTCCCTTCCTATGGGCTTCCCGAGAAATTGTGCAATTGGATCACCAGCTTCCTTGCAGATCGGAGCATCAAGTTCGTTGTAGACGGTGCATGTTCTGACTACAAGCCTATTAACGCTGGTGTTCCACAAGGCTGTGTGCTATCACCAACGCTGTTTCTTCTGCATATCAATGATATGTTGCTAACTGGTAACATTCATTGCTATGCGGATGACAGCACTGGTGATGTTCTATACACCGGCCGTGCCAATATTTCTCGGGAAAACGTCACCGAGTACCGGAACAAACTTGTGTCTGAAGTCGAGTCTTTGCTGGAAAAAGTCTCGGATTGGGGGCGACTAAATCTAGTCCAGTTTACTCCTCAGAAGACACAAGTTTGCGCGTTTACCGCTAAAAAGAACCCCTATTTCGTATCTCCTCAGTTTCAAGGCACTCCCCTTCTTGCCTCAGCCAGTATCGGTATCCTCGGAGTCGACATATCGAGTGACGTGCAGTTTCGTGGTCACTTGAAAGAGAAGGCCAAATTGGCCTCTAAAAAGCTTGGCGTGCTCAGCAGAGCGAGACAGTATTTCATGCCGGCACACCGCCTGCAACTTTACAAGGCGCAGGTTCGGCCTCACATGGAATACTGTTCCCATCTCTGGGCAGGGACTCACCAGTGCCAGCTCCTTCCACTTGACCGCATCCAGCGCAGAGCGGCTCGAATCGTCGACGAACGAGCCCTTTCCGATCGGCTCGATTCATTGGCACTGCGAAGAGATGTTGCATCTCTTTGCATTTTCTTTCGCATCTACCATGGGGAGTGCTCTGAGGAATTGTTCGGATTAATCCCAGCCGCCAAATTTCACGAACGCACATCGCGGCAGAACTCCCGATACCATCCACACCATCTGGATGATTGGCGGTCCACCACTATGCGATTTAGAAGATGTTTTCTTCCTCGCACGACTTCCTTGTGGAATCGATTACCATCAGCGATTTTTCCGGACCGATACGACTTAGGGACCTTCAAGAAAAGAGCGTACTCCTTTTTAAAAGGCCGGCAACGCATCTGCAATTCCCTACCTGGTGTTGCAGTTGTTCATGGGCGGCGGTAGTCACTTACCATCAGGTGAGCCGCATGCTCGTTTGCCCCCTCTACTATAAAAAAAAAATACTGCCCTCGTGAGTGAAACCGGTTGATCGACCGATCGGACATTATAGGATAACTTGTTTCTGGAAAACATATTCGTCAACAACTCCGAGTGTTTCTAAAAACCACTGGAATGAGTGTGATATAGACGTTACACATGAGCTTTGTCTTAATCATGTTTATTTATAGAACCATCCGTTGGGAGACACTACTGTGGCCTTTGAGCATATATAACTGCCATAATGACTGTATCATCGGCAAATCAAAGCTGAGTGAAATACTTGCCAAGTGTCCCCGCCAAGATGAGCCAACCAAACCAAAACGAAGCACTACCTACCTACCTGTTCTTCAAGCGCTTCGTCGTGTTTTTGAACTCTCATAACTTGGGTTTGGATTATACCAGATAAACATCTCGAGATATGATTTCAATAGTAAACTTATTAAACATGTAAAGTTTCAATTACACAGCTCTTATAATTTAGATTTTATTGATATTTAGAAAACCCCGATTTCGTCACAGAGTAAGTCAGAGTCAGAATCACTGATGATCATCAAAATTCTTAGGGTAATTCTTGAAGTTTTTTAGACAGTGCCAGCCATATGGTCTCGTCTTAACAACATTTTACATGAAAATGTTTCCGTTATGTTATGTTATGTCCGTTATCGTATCCTTTCATATCCTTTTAGTCCAATAGCTTGAAAACGTTTTCCATCTCTTTGTCTAACACCTCTTTGGAGTTCTATAGGATTCCTTATATCATGATTTCGTATTCGAATAGCCGTGGTACTGTACAAACACTTCAACATTTCGGTATACTTACAGTTGACTTGGCACCGCTAAGGGAACTGTAGCATGCCCAACTTAAACGAAATCAATAGCTTGACAAAATGACAGAGTGTAATTTTTTGTCTTCTGTAGAATTTTCCGAAGTGTATGTATGTGGTTTATGGTACTAAAGTCCTTTCGGAAACTGACTTGTATGGAGTACTGCAATCATCAAGTCTGTATGCGAGACGATTTATAAGAACTCTCCATTCTTACCTTTCATTCTTATGTTGCTAACTTCTATTTAAATAATATGCAGGAGTTACGAGTATCTATTAAAAAGTTTAAATTTTTACGAAGCGAAAATTGTTTCATATTTTATTATCACACAAAAAAAAGAATACATCGTTCACCCTTGGGAATGAGATGATCGCTACCATGCTGTTTCTAAAGGTCTACCTACATACTTAATAGTATAACATATTATATTGTTAATTATGTTTAAAATAAAATCCACCTGAGTTTCTTGCTTGTTTTTACCAGGACAGACAATGAAGAGATGTTAATATTGTTGGAATGTAATGAAGTTCTATGTTGAAACTGATCGAATCAAAAATATATTTTTTTAATCTGTAATAATTTCATACTTTTCTTAACATAATTTTTGGAATTGCAATTTGATTTCTTTCTCTAAACATTAGAACAAATAATTTATTTAATTGAAATAGAGCTTCATAACCTTACTTCTTCAAATCTTTCCTTATTGGAGTTGAGATAAATAACTTCACATTTTACCCACTAGAACCTTAACCTTAACTTTGTCTTTTCTTACAACACCCACGGGACTATACGATTTTCGTAATGTAATTTTAATATAATTTTAGGCTAAAGCGTTTTCGTAATGTTATTTTAACAAAGTTGTGAAATTTATTGTCAGATGTTGATTTGTTTTTCTTTTTTCTATTTAGTGATTGGGTGTTTGGAGTTCGATACTGCCAATTAAGTAACTTCATAGCAAATGTTACAGTTGCAGCCAGCGTTTTTACTTTGACGGGTATTTCCTTTGATAGGTAAGATTTTTTGTTATAAGACAAACAGTATTTTCAAATGCATATATCTGTTATTTTTTAGTTTTTTCTATTTTGTCGAGATAATATGACTAACTAGATTTTGTCTTCTTTGAATACATGACTCATAATAACCCATGGGAACGAGGTGATCGCTATGATATTTAATTGTACAAAATACTCTCATTTGCAAAAAGAACGGGCGGTTTTTATTTTTCCTGCCTGATAAAAATACAATACGGAAAAGGTTTTAATCGTTTGAACCGTTTGATCGTTTGGCCGTTTATAAATAAACCGTAGTGTTTAAAAAAGGACGTTCCAAATTCTTTTTTTTTACGAATTTGCTTTGTAAAGAAAATCACTTTTTTTCTGCATTTTATGGCGCAAACTCCCGGGACTTATTATCGAATAAATAACTTATAGTCCATTTTTATTGAATTACCTTATTTCCTTGACATCCTAAAATATTTTTATTGCAATTTAGCGGTCGTGTGAACTTAACTAAATGTAAGTCGTTCGACAGTCCAAGAGACCTTGCAGTGCTATCAAGAGACCGTTTCCGACAAGAGATGGCATGGGTTTTGAAGAAAGCCATGTACCGAACCAAAAGATCATCGTTTTCTGGTGAGTCAAGCGTTAAGAAATCGCAAATCTTCGTATGTCGACCTCAAAAACCAACTTGAATAAGTTTGATGAACTCCATGACCACCGAGTTTCCAGGTTTGACTTCGCTCAAAATTGTGTGAAATGGACTTAAGAAAACTGGGATATTGTAGGTATTTCCTTAGGTTCTCTGATGAAGCCAGGATATCTCTTTGCGGTGAAGACCAACGTAGCTGAGTTCTACAAATACAGTGAGAACGATTTGAAGGGGTATGTGTTGAAGATATTACATCTTATGGTGGGGGCTTTGTTATGTTTTGGGCAGGAATAAATTCGTTGGATCGTACGGAGTCAGTCTTCATCAAAAACGGCACACTGACAGTATACCGATACATAACAGAAGTTGTGGTTCCTGATTGACAACCCGCATTGGCCGCTCTTTGCGAAAACTCTATTTTATGGACGACAACACTCGCGCCCACCGGTCTGGCGATTTGGAAGCTAGAGGTCGGAATACGTCGTTTGGATTGGTTACCTCGAAGTTCCGACCTAATTCTCATAAAGCATGTCTGGGATGTTCTGAAGCGTGGAGTGAGATTAGTGCAGCTGGCTTTGCAGACCATCAGAGAGCTAAAGTATCAGATTACCGCGGGGTGGGAACGTATTTCACAAGAAACCATAAGAGATTCACTCGCTAACATGCCCATACGAATTCAAGCTACAATTTCAGCATAATGGATTCATACTCCATATTAAATATTTATTTGCTTTTACTTTACTAAAGATAAGACAAATAAAAAACACGTTCGTTTTTACTTAGCGAGCAGGTACATTTACATTGTTTGATAGTAAAATTATCACGTAATAGTAAATTGGTTCTTTGCTTAGGTTACCGTTTTTTTTGCAAAAGAGTTTATATTATTGCGTTCCTTTTCTGAATATGAAACTATAAATACAGTATTGAGTATGAAGGGTTTTCAAAATCTTAAAGAAAACGTGACTGATGTTGATACCTGGGAATTAGGTGATCGCTAATATGTTTATTGTAATGTATTTATTTTATACCTTTTTTAAATAATTTTTTATTATGTGTTACATTTACATTTATTACATTGTAAGTTGTCTGTCATTCCTCTCTATTTATTTCTATTTTATACTATACTATTATTTTCAAGTCTATTCCGTTTTGTTCCGTTCTGTTCCTTCTTTTCTGTTCGTTCCACTTCACTCCACTCTATTCCATACTATTTCATTTATTGATTCATAATAGTAAAAACTAGACACACTCCAAACCCTATTTATTTGCGCGTTGCTCTTTCAGGTAGTTAAAATAATATACGTAGCATAATAGTAATCAAAACAAATTGCTAAAATTATCTGATGAAATCATTTTAAATCAATAATCTAATATATAAAAATTAATGTTTGTTTGTTTCTATTTTATGCGACGCCATACCGTTCACTAGATTGCGCTAAAATTTTTCAACTTATTGTTTTCACTTGCGTGAAGGTTATAGGCATAGTACAATTACAACAATATTATAAATAATTAAATAAGATCAATAATTTTTTGATAAGTATGGTTATGTTCGCTTTTGTAAAGTGACTAGACATTAATCAAAATATTATTTTAAAATGTGTTGTCAAAATATTGCTTCCTGCAACACCAATTTATTTACCTAAGGAAATTTACTCTGATTCCTAGCTAAAATAAGGAGAACGAAATACAAGAAGAATATGATACAATGAATTATAATAAAAATTGTAACAAACATAAATTCTAACGTTTTCCGTTCAGAGTAATAGGCAGAGATTACGAACTTCCATTCCTCACGATATAGAGCACTTTATATCTTCTTTCACGTCGATATATTATGTAGGCATACATGTTCGTCAGTTAAGGGTAATTTTAATTTGGCCCATCTCAATCGTCAATTTCATCAATCAACTTCCATTTAGTCCCTTACCGAGTCATTGTCTCAGTTTTGCAGCATAAATTAACTTTGTTACTCTTTCTTCGTTCACTCTACGTGTCTAAATTACCGAAGCATTGCTTTCTTACTCTTAATCACAACAGCTTCTTGCAAACCACACCTGAGAAAGGTGTGGTTTTAACACAATTTCTTATCCTATCATTCAGAATCATCCGTAACATACCAATATTAATAAATAACCCTACTTCTTAATGACCGCATCTAACGCTAATCATACGATAATCGTATTAAAAATAAATACTTATTTGTCAGACAATTTTTAAAATTAAAAAGTTAATATCTTTTAATATTATATTTTATACCATTAAAATGTACGTGGCTTCAGTAGTAGTAGTTAGTCACTAGCATTGCAAAATTAGTGTAATGTTTTATTATAGACAAATTGCCATTATCTCATCATCATACGATTAAGTATTAGAGTATTTTTGTTTTTATAATTTATTTTAATCAATTGTCTAAAATGACTAAAATATTTTTTTATTTTCATTTTTTAAATTTATAATTTTTAAAATATATCGGATTATTAAAAATAAATAAATCACACGATATTCCTATAAATAAAAAAATCGTTTGATTATCATATAAATAGATACTTTCTTTGCTTTTTCTGCTACACCTTTTACTATATAACATGAAAGTATACAGCACTGTGAATTGACATGCGCACATTATAACTTTCCACAATAGAGTGAAGAGCCCCATTTATTTACTGTGTGTTCTGGCATTCTATTCATTTTATATCATTGTTATGTCTACCATCACTGCGAAAAACAAATTCTAAACTCACAGAATCATTGTCTTTCGACCAACTAACTCCTCTTCTATTCTTATTTTATGTATTGTCTCACTTTCTTCTGTTTCGAAAACCATCACTATCGTCTTACCTTCGTTTAATTTAATTCCCCTGACTTTATACGTATGATACATTCTTTTTTGTAACCATCATACAAAAACATTTAACGCCTAACTCATCCAATTTTAAGTCTTATTCTTCAACTTCAAAAAATAAATTAGTATTCGGTTTGTGTAGGTATCAAGCTATCGTCAGACCAATGAGACCAAGGATGTCTAAAACATGCTCTTTGATAATGATAGCTGGAATATGGATAAGTGGAATGCTTCTAGCGATACCATGTTTACTTTATTCAACAACGAAAGAATACCGGTAAGTATGTTTTTACTTAAATTTTCTATATTTATTTCTATATTAATTCATTTTATTATTATTATAAAATCTTTACCTTTGATAATTTGAACCATATTCATACAAAAAGAACCGTTCGAGTTTCATAAATTGTAGTTAAAGTTTTATTATTTTCTTATTATCCTCATCATCATTATCACCATTATCATAAAAATCTCCTCTATCAACGTCATCTCGATCATCATCACCATGGCAGCTCATCACAAGACCATTAATGAACATAGTCGTCCCCCGATGAGTATCATAAATTATGGTCTTGATCTAACTGCCTCCATCGATTTCCTGCACGTCTTACCAGATCTTCTCTCCATTTAGTGAGGAGACGAGGGTACGAGACTGTAGCTCGAAAAATTTTCTACGTCATATCGGTTGTCGGTTCTTCTACGAGGCTGCAGCTCGAGAAACTTTCTACATAATATCAGTTGTCGGTTCTTCGAGCTGATAGGATATATCCAGCATGCTGCTGGTCGTATGACGAAACTCGAGATCGTTCAAGGAGCTATGAAGAGGGCTGTGACTAGAGTTTCTCTGCATCATTCAATTTTCAATTGTATCATAGATATACGGAGTAGAATCATAGTAACCGATATAGTCAAAACTATCACAACGGATTTTCCTATATGTATAATTTTTTTTATAAAATGCCTCCTATTAATTTTAAGAGTTAGTAAAAGTATAACTAGTCATCTGGGTAGGACAGGCTTATAGTGCCCGAGTGTATACGCTGCGCAAACATAGGTGCACTCTCTATTCCCTCACTCTCATAGTCCGATGGATGGCAAACAGGCGCAACCGTAGAAATATCAGGAGATTTATTAACAGAAACAATAAAATCAATATGAATAATGAAACATTTACTGTAATACTTTTATGTCAAAATAAATAAAAGTTATTATTATATTATATATAATAATTGAAATTGATTCGACCCGTGTTACACTAGACCAATGAGGCAGTCAAGGTCAAAATGCAACAGACATTTTAAGGTATTTGGCATTGCAATTTTTCTTTAGTTAGGCTTAGGAAATTTAAAAAAAATGTTTTTCAGTAGTTTTTAAAATTATTCATAATAAAATAAATATACATTAGGGCTAGTTTTTCAAAGTTGTAACTGTTAAAATTATGCCATCAAAAACATAACTTGTAAAAAAAGCCAAGTCTCGCAACTCAGTTCTTCTACCGTAAAAAGTTGTGAGATCCATGTAATACCAAGTCGGTTAATTTACTCAGTGTCTACTTAAGGGTCCTTCTGTCTTAAATTATAACTTAATTAGCTAACCTAACGAAATCTTATAGTGACCATATCAATATCAAAAATCTTTAAGTTTTAAATAAATAGATTGACTTGGCCATCGCATGAAAACACAATGTATTTGTCAAGTAATACATATTATATCAAATTAGATTATTTAGTATTACATAGGCAATGTAAATGTAATGACTTTGGATTTCGCAACCAAGTGCTAATTTGTATGTGTAAATTCTGATTTATTTATTCATTTCTGCCACGCATAATGTCACATGGGATTAGCACAACAGTTGTAAATTACTAAATACTGTCCTTCTCATGAGCAAACTATACTTGGCGATAAATAATATAACAAATATTTTACACTTGATTGTGTTGCATATCTGATCTTAAAAGAATGTTCGGTGACTAAATCGCGATGTCGTTCACGTTAATATGTTGATTCGTAACTACCCTTTTGATAGCATTTAGTAAGTATATATAATTCATAAGTATTATTTTATCGTCGTCATCATCATCATCATCATTATTGCCGTCATCATCATCATCATTACAGCCCTTCATAATTCCACCGCTGAACATAGGCCTCCCCCAAAGAATACCACAAAGCACGCTCCTGAGCATATTATGCTGATTCATATAATTTAGGCTTTAATAATATTTACGTTTAACTTTTTCATAGGTCGAAAGGCACTTTAAAAACTGCTTGTTTGTTGTCCTGGCCAGATGGATTACCTGATGTTTCTTATATGGATTTTGTGTAAGTATTTTATGTATTAAAATGTATCTAATGTGTCCAAAATATTTTACTAATTGAAAAAAAAATTGAGATTTTGTTTAGAACATATTCCTCTGTTTGAAGCTCACTTAAATTTGAGCTACCATTTAATTGTCTTTAGATTAAAAGTCTCTAAAATTAATAAGGGTATTAATATAGGTACTTTATGTCAGATAAAACAGATAATAAAAATGCGGTGTTTCGAAAAATCTTCATTCCGTATCTAATCACAAAACTTTACTATATAAATTGGGTAATTTATTTAACTGCATTATTATTGTAAGCTTTATTTCAGCAAATAAAAACTTGGAAAGACTAAAACTACGTTTAATATTATTTTATTATTTTAAGCGTTGTAGACACGCTGCAGCTAAATTGTTGCTGCAGTACGAATGAATCGGCTCGACTGAGGAAGAAATACGCTTGCACATAATACCGGGCTTAATGCTGCATTTCGTACAGTGAAGACAACCGAAGACTCCTTTTTTACTGCCGTGACAAGTCATCTGCATTTTGATTCTTAATAGATGTTTAAATCATTTAATAATATGACGCTTAATTCACAGCATTCCCCTATGAATATATATGAATATAATATAAGTGTATACTCATCAATATTTTCCATTCAGGTATCAAGTGTTATTTTTCGTGATAACGTACGCAGTACCAATGCTGGGAATGATATTTTTTTATTCGGCGATGGGACGTGTTTTATGGGGGTCACGTTCCATAGGGGAACTCACTCAACGTCAAGTTGATTCTATACGCTCGAAGCGAAAGGTAGTGTAAATATTACAATTCAATTATACCACGTTATCGGGGTAAAAGTAAAGTGTAAGGGGAATCTTAAAAATATTTTTTCCAAATGTCAATTTCAAGTGCACATAGTTCTATTTGACGATTGACTATAGTGGCTCTAGCGATCGAATGACGACGTGTAAATCAATTAAAAATGCTGATTTAAAATCTGTCCATCGTGGTGAGTTAGCGCAGTAGGATAGTTTTTATCCCAACAGTAGTATTTCCTTGTGTATTATGGAGGCATTATACGTACACAAATACAAAAATCAAGACACGGATCAAGTATTTTAGGCCATGGAAACACTTATTCCTTGTGATATACGACCCGTAAATGACCCGACTCGATATTACAGAGATAATTTTTATGGGATTGCGTACCTACTAAAATAGTTTTATTTTTACGATCGTTAAAACAATGAAATATTTTTATACGAAGATAAATGTTTTATATATAAGAGTTCAATTGTTTATTTAATCTATACAAAGTGTTAAGTTAGAATCTTATGTAAAAAATAAATACGTTGAAAAAAATCTATATCTTCTACTAGAGTTTTTTCGAAAATAAAAATAAAATCTGAAACAAATGCAATTATCATCGTCGATAGATGTGCTTAATAAACAGCTCGTGGAACTGGTGTCTGAGGTGGACTGCTGGATGCTTATAACTTTGTATTTATTCGGGTAGTTTTTCAAAATTTTCTCGATGACCCAAGTAATATTAGAAGTTTTTATAAGAGTCAATCATTTTGCATTTCAGTCCTGTCGAGAATTTTAATATTATGTTTTAACGCCTACCTTGTTACACATTTTACAACTTTCGATAACACCTTACGGCTTCATGGCGCAGTGGCTCAGTAATAAGTTGCGGCGCTGAGAGCCGCGGGTTTAAATCCCGCACTGAACAAGTATTTGTATGGCCTACAAATAATTGTGCCGGGTCTCTCCTTGTGTAATTTGTGTTTGTAAACTGCCTCCACGGTACGGGAGAAAATTCCAGTTTGGGGTTAACGTTTTTTATAAAAAAAAAGACCTTAAGCCCATTGTATGAATGAAACGAAAAGCATTTGTTGAAAATTTAGAATGATGTAAGCGGAAGGCCTGTACAGAATTTGTTTCATAAATCTAATTAGCAGAATTTCAAGCATAACGTAGCAAATACGTCCAATCCTCTTCATGACATATTGCTGCAGCTTGTTGAAGAGAATTGTATCTAAATACCCGATAACCAGAAAGTAAATTAGGTGTTGATCATACCACAATAGCTGCATGATTAAAATCGCTCTACCTGCTTTATGAAATAAATTTTCCTGCCTCAGAAAAACTGAAGTATTACGTATAAAATATCGGGAGAGCTGTGATGATATGTGTGAGGTGATGTTACGAATGATGAGAAGAGATATTCTTGTTTGTTATACGCAAAAGACTGTAAGCGGATAAATACAAAGCCTACCGTCAAGCTGCTATACGAAAGAAAAATAAAGTGTTCTGTATGGTGGGAAGCGAAACGGGTAATTATTTTTGAATTGCAGTTGAAGCGCAATTGTACATTTAACGGGCAGCGTTGAGCTGAAAATTTGCATCTAAACGCTTATCGCCTCCACGACACGACTGAGTGCATGTGGCTTAAATTACACGTTGAAAGTTTTTACTTGGCCATCTGGTGGCGGAGTAAGAAAACGTGTTACCCTATTATGCACCGTATCGTATCGATATCGTAAGAGGCTACTTTGGAAAATGCCAGAAAAATCTTATACATATCTCGACAGAAGACGGTACCATCTCGCTTAATCCAGGTGGAAAATATCCAGTTCAGTGGCGGGTACTAGTGTCAAAAGACAGTAAAAAGTGAGGATTTTTATCGCCACTGTATTAATAAATTGCTTAAATGATGAATGAGGGTCATGTGTGCATGATTACAAAATATTATGTATATTTTTAAATTAATGGTATAAATATTGTAATAACAGCCGCGGTTCTCATATAATTGTAATTGAATTCCTTTTGTTTTTGTTTTACGTTGGTTTTATATCAACGCAATTTTTATTTTTATTCATCGCATTTATTTCGTTTTAAAAGCAATATTATTCTATTTTAGTCATGAGCGGCGGTCGGTTGAGTGTCGAATACGAGAATTCAATTTCAGCACTCAGATTTACATTACCCAAGTCCATTTTTGTCGATTACTTTTTTGTACTTCTTTATTAATCTTATGAAAGGTATATTTTGACATTGGACGATGGGCATGTTATTATTTAAGGCTTATAAAAATCGACGCAGAAAAAAGTATTCTCGATAGAAAGTGGCAAAGGGTTTATTGTGTATATTTTATTATAATATGTTGTTATTTCATATACATTTATAAAAATATTGTACGGCCTTTATTGTTCAAATTTATTAACAATAATTATTTTGCAGGTTGTGAAAATGTTTATTTTGGTGATAGTAATATTCGGTATCTGTTGGTTGCCGTATCATTCCTACTTCATCTACACTCACTTCAACCCTTCCATATTATATATGAAGTACGTTCAGCATATGTATCTCGGCTTTTACTGGTTAGCCATGGCAAATTCTATGGTTAACCCTATAATATATTACTGGATGAATGCAAAGTAAGTTTTTTTTTAATAAGTTCGCTTTTTATCAATTTTGAATTATAAACCAATGCTTGATTACTATTGCACCTGGAAAGTAATGTTTTAGTCGAAGATGATAAAGTTCGCTGACTTAGCTTAACAAAGCCCGTGCAAATTGTAACATATTTTCATTCAAATACTTCAATTACTAATAGTCTTAGGTTTAAATTATGGTTATAAAGGAGTCCTTTTAAGGCGACACCGCGAAAAAATGCAACTCCTTTCATCGAATAGTATAGAAGTCACACGACTAATGTAAGTGGAAATTCGATGTAGGTAAATTCATATCTTTATCTTGAATTTGCTTGTTCAAAAACAAGATGATGCAGAAAGATGAACGTATGTCGTCTTGCACTGCAAACCTTTTTTTTGTTTAAATTTTCTTAGTTCTTAAAATTACAAAAACAAACGTTGATAAAATGTAGGCACGAGCAGAACCTTGCATATGATATAAGTTGTACAAACGTAGTTATAAGTTATATAAACGTTGGTAAAATAGTGATGGTCGTGGCTAAATAGTCAGCGCCATAATCGTGGATTTTGTTTTACAGATTCAGAACATACTTCCGCACGGCAATTTTGTGCCGGTGGCGCGCGTCGTGTTGCCGCCGCCAACGTCCGCCTCCTGAATCCCCGCCGGACTGTGTATCGCAGTCCGGTAGTCGATCCCGATCAGGTTTTTACTCGTTAACGTAATTATTGTTTGAAGTGATATCAGATGTCATTATATCATTAAATATAAAACTGAACTTTTACCGCAAATTAAGCGTAAATAACTAATTCAGCTTAACGATGTATTAAAAAAAAACTTATCATTTAAATTGATTATTCAAATAGAAATCACTATTACATTATTTATTTATTTGACGGCTCCGTGGCGCAGTGGCTTAGCAATCAGTTGTTGCGCTGGGGGCCGCGGGTTCGAATCCCGCACGGAACAAGTATTTGTATGGCCTACAAATAATTGTTCCGGGTCTGGATGTTTGTTCTTGTGCAATTTATGTTTGTAAACTGCCTCCACGACACAGGAGAAAATCCTAGTGTGGGGGTAACGTTTTTTAAAAAAAAAAACAAACAATACAAAACATTTACATGAATTATATCGACGTGGGAAAACAATTTTGTTGTAACAGGAATTGCTATATACCTAGGTATTATATAGATCAAATTTAGGTAATTGCACATTATTTTTATGCTTCCAGCAAAAGTATGCTATATGTACACTAAAACACTTAAAACTCAAAGTTACTTACAGCATTTCTAAAGCTTGTGATTTTCGAGATCAGCTAACTAACAGCAGTCCTGGTCATAATTTTTTTGATTTCATTACTAACGGCAATTATTTTTTACGCTACCACTAAAAACTCACATCTATACAAATAAATAAAATTGAAGTGTCTGTTTGTAATATCAAAATAACAGCTTTTAACTAAATGCATATGAAAGTTTGTACGCTACTTATAACAAAAACACAATTTTTAAAATTTTTGTCTGTCTGTCGGTCTGTCTGTTTGTTCCGGCTAATCTCCGAAACGGCAGGACCGATTTTGACGAAACTTTCACAGGCAGATAGCTGATATCATAAGGAGTAACTTAGTCTACTTTTATTTTAGAAAAAGAATTAGGGTTCCGCGCAAAAACATAAAAACCCTATTACGCGAGCGAAGTCGCGGAGAACAACTAGTGAATAAATAAATTTAAAGAGCTTGTCATTTCAGAGACTTCTTTGTATTTATTTTGATGATACTTACAATATTGTTATAGTCTGTTTAATATTATTTTTAGACAATGGAAATTTTCACCTTTAATATTTTGATAGATGCTATTGCCACTTTGCTTCTGTTTTTTAAAATAATTGACGTAAAAAATTCGTACACTTTCTTACAATGATTCACATTTACACTTTCTTTTCTATAAAAGGTTATTTGCATGCCATTAAGCCATGAATAACTACTTGTAAAATGTTTGTCTGTCAATCTGTACGTGCTAATCTTCAGAATCGCAGAACCGACTGAAACTTTACGAACAGATAAAAAGTGATGCTAGGATTGATCGTAATTATATTTTATCCTAAAAACATGAAGATTTTATAATGAAGTGAAAAACATATTAAAATCTAAATGACGCCACATTAATAAATTCCAACCAGGATAAACCAGGACGGACCACTAGTCTATAATATATCTACTTACAGTAATTTAGCTTTCCCACGTCGAAATATATAAATTTATTTCCTCATAATTAAATTTTTCATTTATTTATTACCGGGCCGTAAATTGAATCTGATATTATGTGTTTTTTATGCTTAACATAATATTTATTATTACAAGGACACTTCAGAATCTCATAAATAATTTAGTGAACTTTACTTTCCGGCGCCTCAAAACCTCAAAAAGCCAAAAGTTATTTGAATAAAAGTAATAAGAAAGGATTTTGCCTAGATTTTGTTTTACATATCACATCTTTAGCTCTAGAAAAAACGGAGAGACTAATTAATTGTAATACCTCTGAATCTAGTTGCCCTTTCCCGTAAGAAATCACATCATAACATAACATATTATGTCATATCACATTATTACGTGGTAGAGCCACGCACTAGTGACGCACGCTCATCACCCCTCCTCCTCCCTCGCATAGCATTTAGCGGTATTAAATAACAGTCTAACTCCAGGAGAGTATACCAGCACCCATGTGCAAAACATATTGAAATGCTAATAAGCCAGGTGTAATATTGCGCGGCTCAAAGCGTGATATACACGGGTGATACTGCGGGCACAGAATAAATAATAGCCGCGGGGAACAGCTAGTTCAGTATAAAGTGTATACTATTATTTCGGTCTCCCCTGTGTGTGGAGCTTCAAAGATGGTTAATATAACTTTCAACTGTTAAAATAAAGAAGAAAGTTTGAAATTTATTATCAAACTAGCTGTTCCCCGCGACTTCGCTCGCGTGTTAGGGTTTTTATGTTTTTGTGTGGAACCCTAATTATATTTCTAAAATAAAAGTAGCCTAAGTTACTCCTTATGAAATCAGCTATCTACCGGTGAAAGTCTCGTCAATATCGGTCCAGACGTTTCGGAGATTACCAGGAACAAACAGACAGACAGACAGACAGACAGACAGACAAAAATTTTAAAAATTGTATTTTATTTATAAGTATCGTTTTTACTTTCATATGCATTTAGTAAAAAACTGTAATTTTTACATTACAAACAGACACTTCAATTTTATTTCTCTGTATATAGATAAATAAAATTAATTATATTGTGTAAAATTATCATATTATACAAACCAGATATTTAAATATTACTTCGATTAAGTCAAAATTTTGTCGTTTTTACTAGTAACAGTTTTCAAATACCTCCCTTGAAGTGTGCGTTTCTACAGGTATAGAGGAACGCAAAGAATTAAGAGGAAATGCAGCGGGCGAATGGCCGCGGTTGTTGTACCGAGAATCCCCCGCCCCGCGATTGCAGAGACAGAATTTGCTTGCTAGCTGCCCTCGATGTCCCCATCGGACCCACTATGACGGTAAGACAAAACAAGTATCTTCAAAAAAAGTCGACTGCAGTATGTAATTTATTATTAACGAATAAAGTTATACGTTAGTAAAACATATTATTTTTAGTTTTAGTGGGTTACTTACGTATTAATCAAATTTATTTTTATTTAAATACACTCATAGTGTAATATAATCTACTGCCCCTTATATCGACCCGTGTCATACGAGGTGATAGATGAAAATGAAATATACATGTGAATATACATAATTAAACATATAACGATAACAGCAACTTCCTGATATCAATACAAAATAAAATATAAAAACTTTAGTTGCCAATCCACCTGCTAAATGTTACTACTATGACAAATATAGCATGGCGTGCAACTGGAACGCAACTCCCCTTCCGGGGCCAAAGGGTAAATAACGGTAAAGAGATATCAAGGATTCTGATAGAAGTGGCACTGATGAAGTTAACCTATTTTGTGCATTTATCTAATTTGTTGTTTGTAGTTGTGTTGTCGTAGCCGAAGGCCACTTTAAATTTTCAGAAATTTCCTAGTCATATTTGTAACGAAATAAAATTCTAAGTTTATTTCGTTACAAATATGACGAAAGTTTCAAGCTTTCAAGTGCCTATTAATGCCTAATGTTTAATGCTATTACGTAATTTAACTCATGAACTTATTCTTATTTCAGCATACATTCACGGTCGGAAAGCTTAAAAACAGTCACATGAAAAGGACCATGTTATTTAAATGTTAAATAGATTCTATGAAAATGAAAAAAAAAACGATAAATAATAAAATAAGAATTTAGTTAGAAAAATAATTTCTTAATTGGGTAGTTGATACCACTATGAATAGATATTGTAATTCGTTATATAATTTAAATTAGGTAATTTTATTACGAAAGAATTTAAAAAAAGATATATGAAACTGTGAATACCATGATTTCATACTATATTCCCATACTAAAAAAAAAATTTTGACTGGTGTGTCAAATACCCAATTGAATATTGTGACTACATAATATGTATGTTCTTATTCTAAGATTGTGACTAAATATAGTTCTGTAAACTGTAAATATTATTATTAATTGAAACAGAATCATTGATGTCTTAGATCATATTATAATATCTAGGAACGGCCATTTTTCGTGGACCTACTGAGAGGACAAATATTATGTTAAATTTAAGGGTATGTTACTTTCGTCCTTTTACTGCTTCTATTGATAACAAAAATTTTAATTTACAACCTGCCTGTACAGTAAAATACACTGGAAAAAATACATTTGCTTCTTCATAAATTAATAAAAAATATGAACTTAAATAACTTTCTTATCTAGGTTCAACATCTCTCCACCCTTTTTGTATATTGTGAAAGATAATGATTAATAATTTAAATAAAATAACTGTCATTCCAAGTCAAGTCAAATATTTCCACTCAGAGTAATTTGCATACATATTATTACTCTAAGGGCGTTTACGACCAAACTTATATAAGTCTTATCCTACGAATAAAATCACTAATTACTCTAGAGTCAGAGGACTTTTCGTTTTACTAAATCTTAACCCAGGTGTAACTGTCATTCCGAGAGTAAATCTCTGGCGATTTGGAGAAATGGCGATGACTCGACGCAACCGAGCTTTCAGAAGGTTTAAGCGTGACAGGAGCAATGAGAATTGGGACTTGTACAAAATTGCTCGCAATCGTTGCAACCAAATGGTAAGGGCGGCAAAGCGTCGTTACTTCTTTGACAATATATCTAGTGCTTCTTCGGCGGATACTTGGAAATTTCTTAATTCTCTTGGTCTATGTAAATCCTCCACTATGAAACATAATATCCCATTCCCTCTAAATAACATTAATTCCTATTTTTCTACAGGTTCCTCACTCTCTCCAGTTATTAAGTCCCAGTCAATCTTAGAAATTAATTCCAAGGCCAAACCTTTACAAATACCCTTCTTATTCTCGCTTGTCTCTGTTAACGATGTTCGTAAAACATTTGCTTCTATTAAATCAAAAGCAGTGGGTTGTGATAATGTGAGTCGTGCTATGATCTCTTTAGTTCTCGAACTCTTTCTTCCAGTCATTACTCACATCATTAATTTTTCTCTGTTGTCAGGGGTATTTCCTTCTTTGTGGTGTAAAGCCTATATAATTCCGCTTCCTAAAATTTCAAACGCCTTGCAACTCAATAATTATAGACCTATTTCTATTCTTCCATTCTTATCAAAGATCCTGGAATCTATAGTTCACCGGCAAGTATCAGGTTTTATATATAATAATAACTTGCTCACTCAATTTCAGTCGGGCTTTCGTCCCGGACATAGCACCACCACTGCACATCTTAAAGTTACAGAGGACATTCGGGATGGCTTGGAGAATAGAAAGGTCACTGTGCTTGTTCTCGTGGACTTTTCTAATGCCTTCAACATGGTTGACCATGATATTCTCCTCGCTATGCTCGGTAATCTAAACTTCTCCTCCATTGCTTTAAATTGGTTCTCTTCCTACCTTTGTGGTCGCCAACAAGCTGTTCGAGTTGGTAATCATTTGTCTGACTGGTGTCAGCTTGTATCTGGCGTGCCACAGGGTGGAATATTATCTCCTTTATTGTTCTCTATTTTTATTAACTTCCTTTCCTCTCAACTTTGCTGTTCTTACCATTTCTACGCCGACGACTTGCAAATTTATACTCAGACTGATGTGGATCACATTGATAATGCTGTTATCAATATTAATACAGATTTATTAAATTTAAGCAATTGGGCTAGCAAATTTGGCATTCTAGTGAATCCTAACAAATGCCAAGCAATTTTAATAGGAAGTGCTCGTCAGTTATCTAAACTTGATATTTGTTCTGTCGCTCCTGTCATGTTTGATGGATCATGCATCCCTTATTCCAGCACTGTGAAAAACCTAGGCCTCTGTATGGACTCAACTCTCAATTGGTCCACTCACATTCAAACAATAAGTGCTTCAGTTACTGCTAAGTTGGGTGCCCTAAATCGCCTTAGAAACTTCCTTCCGGTCAAGGTAAAGATAACTCTGGTGCAGTCTCTTATTTTGCCCATTATTGATTATGCTGATGTGTGTTGTACTGATCTTAATGAGAACCTTCTAGACAAGCTGGATCGTCTCGTAAACAACTGTGTTTGATTCATCTTCTGTCTTCGCAAGTTTGACCATGTTTCCTCCTTTAGATTTCAGCTAAATTGGCTTCCCATTCGCCAACGGAGGCAAGTCAGGACACTTCTCACACTTTTTTCTATTTTATTTGACAATTGTTGTCCCGACTATTTGAAACGTAAGTTTCAATTTCTATCTGATACGCATAATAGACCTCTACGTTCTTCGGAGACTCTTACGCTCTCCATTCCACTTCACCGTTCCGGTTTCTCTTCTTCCTCGTTTGCTGTACGAGCTGCGCGACTTTAGAATGCACTGCCTGAAACTTTGAGACAACGCTCCAACAAAGTAACATTTAAAAAGTATGTTAAAGAACATTTTCTGAAAGTCGTAAAGAACTCCTAAGTTGGCGTCATCATCTGAGTTAATCTGTGTTAATAGCTAATTTCATCATAATATGTTTTTTACGTATATATGTATATTTGTGTGTATATATGTATTTATATGTGAATTTGTGTATATATATATGTGTGTATGTGGTTTGTATATATATATATATATATATATATATATATATATATATATATATATATATATATATATATATATATATATATATGTATATGTATATATATATATATATATATATATGTACGTATGGTATTTGTATTTTTTATTTTCATGTTTATATGCTATAATTCCTAAATTCATTATATTTCTTATTCTGTACTGTTATGTATTATAATAACCGCCTTCGATGTTTTTCCACTCCTCAAGGTTGACAGGCAGAGAATGCTTTAAGCATTATGTCCGCCTTTTGTACTTATATATTTTATAAGGTTCAAAAAAGTTAAATAAATAAATAAATAAATCGCTCTACCGCAAAAATTCATGGATTTAATCAGTCACTCCATATTATTTTAATGACGGCCGCTACATTTTAATAGCTGTTTTTGTATGTTTTGTTGAAAAAGATATTTTACATTTGTGCGTTTATAATTTTGTGACAATTGTAGGGATTTTTTTAAATAATGCAATGTTTATGGATTATGATCGAAGTTTCTGACAGTGATAAAAATACATTCCATGACGTAACACCGTCTGTTTTTTTAAATTTTCTATGACATGTACAGGTAATATTTTTCCACGAGTTCCAATGGTATATTTTTCTCAGAAGGTAGCCACCAATTTGGGCTGCGTTTCCTTCTTTATTTAGACATTTTTTATTTATTTGCAATAACCACAACATGCAACACAACAACTTTAAAAGAAAACTTTACTCAACTGACAATTCGTGATAATATTTGACACTATTATAATCCCGCAAATTACGTATAACATGGTACTTTGTTGAATCCACCCTAAGTATTCTCGTTTTATAGGTCATTTGTTTTATTTTCATTTGTTTCTATTTATAGTACTCTATATGTAGTCACATATTTTATTCAGTGATAATAAATAGATGTCCGAGGAAATAATTTATTTAAAGAGAAAAGGTTCCTAGATGGTAAGGCAGTACTAAGTGAAGTAAACCAAAGATAATATAAGAGCGGTAATCTGACAGAATTGTTGCTTATCCAAAATAAAGAAATACCGATATGCGCTTTGATTATGTTTAAAATATAGGCTAGAACTGACGGGTTTGTGTGCGTAATAGTATCTTACAGTAAAGTGTACCAATGCGTGAAGGACAACTGTCTATCGCAACACGGGCCATCGGCTTATTTGAAGGGAGTAGCCATAGCATTTTTCCCCGATACAGAATTTTTTGCAGGGGGAAATTTGCGCACACAAAAACATTAGCGTCAATAGGAAATCCGAAACAACACGTCCGTTATTGCAATTTTTAAGTTTAAAAAGAAGTAAATAGTAATGATGTAATAAAAAGTTATTTATATATGAAATGTTTTCCATATTTTTGTAAATTTGACATAGCAGACCTCTTTTTGCAGCAAAAAAAAACTGAACAATTTGGCATTTTGTAGGACGTCGATTCCGCGGCCCAGCCGTACTGCTCACTAGACTAAATATAGCTAGATTTAGTATAGTGAGTAGTGTGACTGCAACTTGTTTTATTGTACGCATATGACCACGTGGATTTAGACAGAAGGGAACGCTTTTGTGTGGCTACTCCCCTCCGACCCGGCGATGGTATGTTTCAATATGATCGTAAGTATTGAAATTTAAAAATTATTTGGAATTGTTTATGGGTCTTTATTTCGGATTGTCTTACGTTGGCTATTACATTTAGTGGATACAATACCAGCAAATATATTTACGTAACCATGTTGTGACGGTGTAAGACTATACACTACCCCAAATCATCTGGTGGGGTCGTAAAAGCGATAGAGGGAAGCAAATCAGGAGATGGGCAGCAGCGTCTTCATAGCAACAACAAAAAAAAACTGCGGGTGCCGATCCATCCACCAAGCGTGGCAACTATGACAAATATTCCCTTTGATGCGATGTATGAACGATTTGGAACGGTTTTTTGTGATTGCCTTTAATTCATAAAGTCCACTGTCGGACAAGCCTCATCTTTTGGAGGGAAGAATTACCTTGATAAAATGCTTGGCAGACGAATTGCCGAT